GAAAAAAGACAGTTTAGAGTCATATTGAAGAATGGGATTTCCAGAGATCTTCTGAAAGAGTTGAGATGAAAATATTAAATATAGTTAAGATTTGGTGAAGTAGCCGTCTTTGACTATAAGACTAAAGTCTACTTAAAAGGCATGTTTTAGTCTATAAAACTAGATTTTTTTCACAGAAAGTTTACGACCTTACCTGCACTTGATCAATAGTCAGGTATTTTGTAATAACACACACAACTAGGTATGCATCAAACTTACTAAATTTTACTTTTCTGATACAAATAGTAAATCACTTGAAACACATAAAAAAACTAGATGATACTTGTTGATAAGATTAACTGTATAGGGGCAACTCGTGAATAAAACAAGAGATGTGTTATGTTAGAGAATGACAAAGAAATAATAGATAAATTGTGGTATGAAAATTACATTGTTTGAATTCATTTAAAAAGTTTATTCATTTTTAAATCAGTGAAGGTAAATTATATTTTGACAATATTGTTTGTTCTTCTCTTATAAGTAGTTAGTGAAGAAGTTTCCCTAAAGTTGTACAAAGTTCAACTAAAAAAGCTTAAAGAAATCTAGAGACATTCAAGGTCATAATTTCTCATATTTTAATTTGTACAATCGATATGCTGCTGATACATGAAATAGTTGATTTAGTAAAAAAACGATTCAAAATCTGTTGTGAAACTAACTTAAGATGTTTAGTCTATTATAAGTAATGAACATGAATAATTGAATTTTGAACAAAAAACATGTATGTTAAATATTTGATATAAGACTAATTTGATACATACATATATATTCTGTGACAACAATGAGAGAAAATGAAAAATGAATATGTGTCAAATTACTTATATTCAAAATTGTTTTGAGAAAGAATTATGAAAATATGTTGAAAATGATAATGTTACAGGAAAAGATAGAACTAGTAATACGTTTCAAAATTTATAAACTTAACTGTAACATCTTCAATAAAAGAACTCGGTGTGTTTAATTTTTTTTTTTTTTCTTTGTCTCAATCATTTGTTTGTGATTTTAAATCTAATTGTAAAATTAGTATTCATCGACTTTAACTTGTAGATAAAATAAAACAAACTTGTCATTTACTACTTTAGTCTCCTTTTCAACTTATTTTGAACAATATGAGTCGATGAGAACTTTCTAGCAAGGACTAACTAATATTGACTGGTCATTATCAAATCTGTATTATTTCTTCTTTTTCTTCTCTTAGTATATATCACATCTTTTCACTTTGTTTACAATGGAGTTATTGTTCATTCTTATACATTTTAATGTGAATTCATCCTTTTGTAGACTCTCTTTCACTTTCATAAAGCCAAGGATAGAGAAAGAATAGACAGATAAAACTTTGTTTTTGTCCATCATCATATATTCGAAGAAAAAAAAAAAAAAAATTATGACTATGAATAACATAGAAGGCGTGGTGAGATGAGTATAAGTTGAGAAAAGAAAATCTCGAACAAATAGACTAAAAAATGTGTTAACAGAAAAAGTAACTGATGAACATGTTTGAAACAAAAGAAATTTGATTGTTGCCGTTGACATTGTAATGTATAGTTGAGACTCGTAAATAGTGTGTATAGTCTACAAAATTCCTTCTTATCAACAACAATAACGACAACAGCATGATGGTAAGTATTTCTTTAAAATTATTAAAACAAAAATCGAAATCAAAAGTTCAATTCTCAAAAAAATTTGATAATATATTTATCTCTAAGAGAAAGAAGAAATATAATTTAACTATAATAAATTAGTTAATCTAAATTATTAATGTTTAGCTAGTTCATAACGTTCGATATAGTATGATAGAATAAGTTATATGTAAAAGTTTTTAGAGCTCTAAAATTAAAATTAATTATGAAATCTTTTATTTTGTTTGTTGAATGTATCTATCGTAGCGTACATTTATAATTTTTTCACTTCGTATCACTCTATTTTGGATAAATTATTTCAATGTGATAAAGAAAAAAATAGTGAATATATAAAATAATTATTTGTTAAATATACTGAGCAAAAACAACAATTCTGTAATAATGTTTGACCTTAGAAGTTCAGTTTTCCCGTCGAAAAATGATCAATGAGAATTTTACTGTTTATATATCATTTACTTTGTTTCGCGTATTATATCGTATTTATCATTTTGTTAGCTTGTCAAATAGAGAAAATTTATGCTGAAAGAGTGACTGATTTTGAATGATTCAAATAGTCCAAAAGCCATATTTTTATTTACTTTTGCTTTTTACTAGATTGTTACACTTTTCTTCAAGAAAAGTCCAACAACTTTTGAAAAAAAGATTATCAAACTTTTTTCTATGAAATAAAAAATTGATATGATTAAAATATCTTCTTTTGAATAGCGTTATTTCAACACTCTCTAGTCATCTCTAATCACAAGTTATTGGAAAATGATCACAATCACTCGTATTGGATATAGACAACAATATCCAAATAACATTCATTATCAGTCGTTCATTTCAAAATAAGAAGGTATAAGCAATTGTGAATTAGTGGAATATATCCGTCTAAATGTAAATTTTTTCAATTCATCGTTTGTCCTTTCGTTTTAATTTATAACGAATGGATGGGAGACTATTTTACAAGTAACGCGTACCCGTCATATTTTTATTTAGTTTGGCTTATAGGAAAAACATAATTATTTTTGTTAAATGTTAGTGCTGATTTTACGATTAACTTACACTCGTGACAAATTTCTCTTTATATTCTATTACTTTTTAACTTATTTGTCATAGAGTATATAAAGTAAAATAAAAGATGAAGGCCAAGGTGTAAGAATGTATCTGCTTGCTTTGAGATTTGTTTCTTGTGTTTTTTTTTTTGTTTTTTTTTTTTTTTTTTTTGGGTGAAACTGGATAAAATATTATGTTAGAATAAAATTTGTTTTAAGTTTATTTAATATGGTTTTCTTCTATATGTGCGGTTTATTTATAGTCTAGGATGTTGATGATAATAATAATAAAAAATCTAAACTAAGATTTCATTCAATTATATTTTTCATACTCTTCTATTTTTATTTTCTATTCAATTTGTTAAAATATTACTTTATCTTCTTTTTTTTCTCTCTACACACACACACACACACACAAATTTATTTTATTTATCTTGTAATCAGACTTTTTATACCTATTCGTTATTAAAAATAGCAGGTGGGTCATATAAACAGAAATTATAGTTTAATCAAGAAAAATAATGACTATTAGGTATATTATGAGAGTCAATATTAAAAAATAGAATATTAGAGTATTGAAGGAAATAAATAAAAATGATTCTTTTTTTTACCTTGATTCTCCTATAGGCAACGAGATATACAAAAGGTTAATCCATACACCAGGTGTTTATTCACACTTTTATTTTGATTCAAATAAAATAAAAAAAAAGTTATCATCAAAAAATAAAATATATTTAATCTATAGTATGTGTCGAAGTTAGTTTAATAGATAATTAGTATATATTATACATACGTACTTTCTATAATTTTATAAAATTGAACATATTTTATACATTTTTTTTTTCTATATATTCAATCTTTTATGTATCAGATAAAGATCAAGTCTATAGTTATTTAAATTCGTTTGTTAATCAAAAAGTAGTTTTTTATTCATACAGAAATAATCTGTTTATAAAGATAAATTGAATAGTATTCCTCATTTATAACCGCAAGTGTATCTAATATGTACAATAATATGTTTTGTAGAAAAATAAATTTAAAAACGAGGGAAAAGAAAACATCAATTTTTTTTTTTTTTCTTTAATAGAACAATGACCTTTCAAGTACATATACACATACACATATAGTATATTTTCTAGTCAAATAGTCAAATAGAATAAAGTTGAGTTTCTCTGTTGTGTAAATATGCGGTAACCATTCTTTTTTCTTTTTTTTTTTTTTTCTTTAAATGTTATTCTTTCATGTTGAAAATCTTTTAAACTTACCAAAGGCGCTATATACACTACTGATCTTGGATGACATCCAACAAATAACTATTTTATTGTCACTAACATTGAATGAATAATGAGCCTAGTTACAATAAATAAGTACTTATATTCAAAAAAAAATCGAAGTGTTATAAATGAAGTTGGCTTTTCTAATTGCTTACTAATAGTACTTTATAAATAAGTAGAAGAGAAAAAGGGATATATTTAGTCACACAATATATATATATTAGTGACCGTGACATAAAACTATTTACATGAGTATATGATTGAAGATGAATGAACGATCATAAATGTTATTAAATTTATACTAGTGAAATATCTTTGAAAAGTATAAATAAATAACTTATTTAAAATATATTTTGTTTTTAATGGTGTTAATATCTAATAGTAATGGATATAATATATCTCAAATAGATATAAAGATGGTATACTATTTTTTGAACTATATAAATACTTAAAAGATGTTGAAAAAATTCATAGTATCCCTAAAAAACATTAGCAACAAAAGTCAACATATAGTTTTCTTTTTTTTTATTAAGAGAATAGATTGTTTTGGCCAAAATAGAAGCCAAACTTTCTAGACTGTTTTTTAATGAAAGAAAAAGAATTGTTAAGTATTGAATCAAAATATGAAAAACAAAAATCAGTCGATGATCTACATTGTTTACGTTGCAAGTTACATGTGAATCAACGTTTTTGGCAAGTAATTAATGGATACATATTCATCTATTGGATAGATCTAATTTATAATATGAACATTTTTTTCAAAAACAAACATTTTTTTTTCTATAAGTTATTATTGTTAACAATCTATTAACGTAAAGAAGTTCTATTGTTTTTTCAAGAAATTTCTTTAAGAAGAACAAAGGCAAGATTCTTTCCCTCTTAAATTTGAATTGAAATTATTAAGAACTGATAATATGTCATCAATTAAGTTAAAGAAAATTTTTAAGTTAAGATATTCACTTTTTAAGACAATTAATAATAGAATGATTTTTTCACTATAACAATCGTTTGAAATGAAATTTTTTCCGGAGGCAGATAGCTCTCATGTCAAAGTCTATCAATCTCTAATTGTACGTGGGAAAAAATTGCACCTTCGATTATTCATTAAAAAATCAACATTATTGCCCACAGTATAACTTAGAAACACATTTTTCAAGATAAACCGTAAAAATTGGTAGCAAAATATTTACTCTTTTTCAACAAAGAACTTTTCAATCAGTTTAGAGATCTCGTGTCGTATTGTATTGAAACAACAATGAATTACGATATTAGTCGAATAAATCTATGAGAGTTGATGTCACTTTTCCTACTCTATCATCCTAGGTACATAAGGAAAAACTTAACGAAAAGTTATCTTCTATTTTCCTTTTTATAAAATATTGAATTATAAATTAGATTGTAGTCCAATTTCGACTCTATCTATTTATATAGTAAAGATCTCTCTTAAAAGATATTTAACAATTCTTCTCTCGACACTCAATTCGTATAAGTGAGCATAAGAATATCGCCACTGACTTTATCATAGTATTCGAATCTTGAACATTTTCTTTTCAAATCTCTCTCGTTCAACGTATTTGTGGATGACATCTTATAAAATATTTTTCTACTACAAACAAGACATGTTTCTTTACATTCTTCACCTTCTTTACCATATCAATTTAAAGAGCCAAAATTGAACTATAATCTCGTATATAATTCAATATTTTTCAGAAAAAAAAATAGCAGATAAACTCACTCGTTACCTGTATAGATGTGTTATATATACATTATTATATATGACACATATATTAACAGAAAAATGTTCAGTCATTTTTCTCCTCACTTGTTATAAGATTTTTTTCTCTGTTTCCTCGATATTTTATGTGTAATATGTTTGTTTTATTACATGATGAGTGAAGCTGTAGTAAGGTTATTAAGGGTTCAAAAAAAAAATATCGTTACATTAACAAGGAGTTGAAATATAAGCAGAGTCCTTATTCCCACATCACTGCATTTTTCTTTCTCTCATGTAACATTTTTAAATTTTTTTTTTCACATTCTGACACGATTTCAACTTTAACAGTACCGTAGTAAACATCAGTAAAACGCAGTAATTCTTTCTTCCTCTTTTTTTTTTTTCTTAACAAAAGGAAAAGGACCACATGTCCTTCTATCAGCCAGCTGTAACACGATCACATATAATATCAACCTCTATTTTATGAGTAATTAGGCTTTGTTTAAAAGAAAATACATCACCAGCTTATAGTCATTCAGAAACAGCATAGAACATGAGAAATCGAATTTTTGAAAGTATGAACAGTATTTACTTTATGTAAATACTTTACGTTATGTTGTAAAGTTAGATTTAAGTATGAAGAACTAGCTCAAGATACAGGTTTTTTTTCGTATGTAAAGTTGTTCTTGTTTCTTTCTGTAACCGAAAAAAGTAAAGATTTAACCTGCGTTCAAGGACAACTTTGAAATACTTCACAGATAATCTGATGAAGCGTTGTTTACCTTCTATTTTATTGCATTTTTTTTTTGTTTGATTTCAGTTGAGCGATAATCCTACCGCACGCAACATCAACGAGAACAATTCGTTATCGTCTTCCTCATTATTATCACCTACAAGCACTGACAGTTCATGTGAAAGCAGTGTTGGACATCCAGTTGGCGATTATTATAAAATCAAAGCTAAATTTCATTTAAAACCACATATTACTGACGAATCAACAAATTTACAATTACAAAAGTTTAAACGGTTATTAAAACGTTTAGAACTTGTATATTCAAACACAAACGACGATAAACCTGTGATCGCAGCAAACACACTACCAAAAATGTCCGCTGTGACTATTTTACCACCGCCAACAATGCTTTCTGATACAACAAAACAACCAGTATCAGATCGCTATCTATTTCGTTCATCGAATAGAAAGAAAAAAGGTTATTCATACTCATCGACGCCACCCACATTAAGAAAACGTTATAAATTCTCAAAAACTACTAATAACGAACAGCACGATACAGACAGTCAAAGTGATCATGAACATACAAATGTCTATCGTTTTCGAAAAAATGGTAAAACAACGGGTTCGTCAGCAAATTCGCTTGATCAGCGTTCAGTATCATCCGACAGATACGATTTTAGCCTTGATAAAGAGAATATAGCTGCTGCTAAAACACTTACATTTGTTCGATCGGGTAGGGATTTAGAAACTCGTTCAATAACCTATATTCATGGTAAACAGCAACAAAGTGATAATGAAGTAAAAAAGTCAACAATGACAACACCTTATCTATTTCCACCTACAATAGAACAGAAAAATATGCGACATCCAAGTCATACATCATCATTTGACGAACGCATAGCACCAGAAGGTAAAAAAGTTAAGAGGTTAAGAACAGATAAAAAATGATTTGTTGAGAAACACAATTTTCATGACCATTTTGGAGAAAAAAAATTGCGTTAATGAACAATTCTCGGATTTGTAATAAAAACCCGGAACGAAATAAAACCGTGAAATGAAATAGATTTTTAAGGTCAAAATCACCAGTTTTTTTAATTATACATAAGCTGAAAAGTGGATGCTTTGCAGACAATACAAGCTTCAGATAATTTTTGCATTTATAATTTATATTAACATTCTCGTGTTCACGGTTTGTGAGAGCTAGGGGAGTAAAAAACATTTTCCAGGAGAAATATGGAATTGAATTTTTTGATGCCTTGCTGTGGTCAAAAAACAAAAATGTTCAAAGATTTCGAATGTTGGAAATAGTTTCTTTTTGTTATTGGACGGTATCGCCAGTTTTTATAGTCCTGCTTGTATTTTTAGAAGTTTGGGAATCTAAACGAGTACAACCATCTAATGTCGTCTTTGATAGTAAAATCGATAGCATAGCAGGAGTACCATCACAAAAACGAGTAAGAATTGATGATCAACACGATTCACAAATGGTTTACGATCAAAATTATAAACCGCCTATGAAGTTGCATACGGCTACTACGACAAATGGTGTCGGCGATACTTCAAAATATCCAAATTTAAAACGGACACCGGTCACACGCGTACAAGTTGTTCGATTCGATTCAACGGCAGTCACGTCACCCACATCTCGTTCCTATTTAGATGAAGCACGTGAGCGTCTTGCAACGAAACGTCGTGGTCAATCACCTCAATCATTTAATAAATCGTTAGATCGCTTTGTTTCAACAACAAATCAAAAACTAAAACAAAGACGTTTGCAACAAGATCGACAACAACAACGAATTCTCACCCCTCCTACACAATTTCAACACCCACAATCTATTGATCCCGAAAATGTGACCATTGAAGCTTTGAAACGTCGACATAACATCGATGATTACCATCAACGCTCATCCATACTCAGAAATGGTCGAGGTGGGCTTCAACAGCAACGACCCACATCAACTTACGTTAGTCAGTATTATGCAAATAGTGATGATGATCAACAGCTACAGCAAATATATCCTACGCCACCAATTGATTATCCAATTGACAGCGATGATTCGGCTTCAGAAGAGTATAGTCGTCCGCTATTAACCACTACATCACCAACCACTTACATCCGAGGTCAAGTGCCATCAGCCTATTTGGCTCATAGTAAAATCATGAAAAATGTCAACCGTAGTTTGCTAGCCAAAGATTTCATCAACACTAGTACACAGACTCTAACGACAAGTATGACAGCGGCGGATAATAATCGTTTGAAACTTTTAGATCGAGCTGTTCGTAGACAGTTAAAAAATACCGAACGTCAGTCGTTACAACGTGAGCTAAATCATGATCTTATTCGATGTTTTTCATCGACCTATATCGATGATTTAAGACGGGAAGAAATACGTTATCAACATACTCGAACAAATATGAAATCTTATGCAAATGAAGACATCGAAGATATCTACATGTCATCATCATTGGAAAACTATAAAATGAAAACGGCTATCGATCGAGAAAAACGAATACGTTTGGGAATTAATTCAAGTTTAGATCCACAAAGTTCATCTACACCCACATCATCCATCATCGGGAGACTATCACCATTATCGACTTATAGTCCAATGATGATGTCAAGCTTTCAAGATGGAACCCAAAATGCTGGTGCGGGTGACGTGCAGTCATTAGGCTTTGAAACTGATAGACGTTCACAGAGATCAGTTACATCGGTATGTATCACAGTATAGATTCAGTTTTCAAATCTTGTATATTAAATACGTATTGCATCTTTAAACAAAAACGCACGTTTACTCTAAATTAACCGCTGATTAACCTCTTGAAGATACTAATGACAATACGAAAAGAATCTATCTATATGCGTATATCCTAACAAGAAATCTATACATTTCTTGACAGGATCTTAGAAAAATCCTGCCAGGATCCTTTCAAGAATTCGTTTACTTTTAAGTAGAATTCTAGCAAAATCCTATAGAATCCTAATGAAATCTGAGATACCCAAAAGTCGTAGGATTCTATTAGGATCCGAACATGACTCTAACAAGAAAATGCAATGATTCACTCTTAGACAAAATTTTGTACGTTTCCCACTTATTTCCTATTACAATCCTAAAGTTAAGATCCTATAAGATCGTAGTAGAAAATAAATAGGAAATACGTAGGATTTTATCTAGGGTAAATAAAGAACGCAAGAAAAGAATACACTGTTTTGGGTAAAACTGTAGATGCATGTGCGTACTTCGGTTGAATAAAACGTGAAAAGTAGCATGATTCATGAGACTAATTTGCCAGTTTTGGTAAGTGAGTGCACATTTGAGTGGTCGTTATAGTTGGTGTAAGCTTTATTCTGTCAGAATACAAGCGGAAAAATATTCCATTATAGAATTCTAAAATAAAACTTTCGAAAAACACAAAAGCAATTTTGTACGAATAGAGAGATTCGAACATATGAACTTTGCAGTAAACTGCAAAACTAAATTCATTGTTCTATATTTTGTACAGCGCCTGAAGTTGTGCAATCGACGTTATAGTTGGCTGTAGTTATTTTTCTCTTGAAGAATGACGACTTAAATAAAGAGATCTAAAAGCATAGAGTATGCTTGAACTTCGCCTTTTTACTGCATATAGTAGTTAAGAAAGACTTATCTTGGCTTAATGATTTGTTTACAACAGTTAGTGGATAGTTTTTTATCCATTTTAGACCTCTCAAACTGTCTCAAATCGTCCGCCTGATGTAGACTTATTTTATGAAATAGTACATGAACATTTTCGTGGTGTTGATGCAACAATAGCTGGCCAAGTATCTAATGCTTCTCAGTATACATCACCGAAAAAACGATCAGTAATTCCACAACACCAACAAACTTTATCACAAAAACCAGTGGATGTAGACAGTGATATTGAAATAAACTCAAATTCATCATTTTGGTCAGACGAAGACGAGCAACAACAGCAGCAACAAATGGATACAGATGATGTTCCACAACATCACTTGCCACAACGTCAAATTAATCGTTACTTATCAACAGTAAATCGTTCACTATTAGATCGTCCAAGTGATTTAATTTCTGATTATTATATTTCACATTTGAATCGTTCAATGCAAGATAGTGTTCGACATGTTGAAACTATTGCCAGAAATTTAGCCAGAAATAGATGGCGAGATGAATTTGATCAATTACCAAAATTGGGGCGAAGTTTATCAGCTGAACATTTATATCAAGTTAGACGAGAACATTTACGTTATCGTCAACCATTTACAACACCAGTTAGTTTTACAGCCGAAGATGTTTCAGATATATATAAACCATTTCAACTGGAAAATTATAAACGTAAAATCGCAATAGAAATTGAACGAAGAAGAAGAGAAAGACAAGGACAATTATCGACAGGTATACATATTCATACACTTGGTAAAATTTATACTAAACATTGCATAAATTGTAGGTTTTCGTAGTCCAATGTACGCAAATGAACCTGATTTAAATGCTGTTAAATCTTATCAACCTGTTATACAAGTGCCAATAATTCCAACTGATTCATCAAATCGTCTTCCATCACGCACACATACCGTTTACAGTACACCAGTAACCAGATTACAGGAATTCGATAACATTCTTGACCGTGATGATATATCACGAAATAACATTTTAATTGTTAATCCACCCGTTGTACATACGAAACCCTCATCATCTTATTCAACTGAAGAGCAAACAATTCCTACCCAACGTGCAAAACGATTATTGACAGATGATGGTACAGATATGATGCATCATGTAGAAATTCTAAATTCAGAACCGATTCGGCAATCAATAATTAAACAACAACACCAAGGAATATTAACAAATAGAGATCCACAGATCTATCATCATGTTAAAATTCGTCCACCTCCGGAAATAGCCCAATCAACTTTAATCATAGATGACAATAGAGTGGATAATCGTGCACATAGTTCAATAGTGCAATCAACTATGCATCCTACACCAATAAGGGAACGTGTTCATACCGATTCTGCTCGTTCATCTGTTCAACAACCGCAATATGAAAAATTAACAATATTGCCTCAACAAAATACGGAAATTCGAATTAGGCAAGATCGTGCACAAACTAAAATTGAAGAACAAAATAATTTAATCAATGGTGTATTAAAAACATCCCAAGAACTTCTCATTGCTGATCAAGAACCAATAATGCCAGATCGAATTAGACGGAGAGTAAACGTAAGTAGAAAGTTTTTGAAATTGTGGAATTTTAAAACTTTGCTAACTAGACAAAACATAGCCAAGAAATTAGATCAATACGAATTTTTCATTTATTTTAGATCATACCAACTCAACAACCGTCTCCTCCCTCTCTGATTCATCAAACAAAAATATTTTCTCATTCACCAATAGTCGATAAAATTCAAATTAGTCAAGCTGATGTTATTGAATCATCGAACGCTGATGACTTAGCAATGGTTAATATTAAAAATGTTGTAACAATAAATAAAGAGGAAATAAATGAATTAAATCAAATAGCTCAACAAGCACAACGTTTGCAAATAGAACCAAAAGATTTGGAGCATGCAATGATTATTATGGATCGTCATCGTCCTCATCAGCAAACTCATTATGAACAATCGATACACGAACGTCCCTTTATTTTAAATGCCCCCACTGTTGAACATTTCAAACCACATGATGAAGAAGTTGAAAGATATTTACATCAACGTCTTATTGAACGTGAACAAAAAAGTCATCTAATAATACCAGAAGCTCATCATATGGCTCGTATAGAACAAGATATTCATATTTTTGAAAATATCGAAAAACTTCATCAACAGCAAAACGATCGACATCATTTAAATGAGATACCAACGCATGATAGTGGCATTGTTTCATTAAATACATCATCGTCACAAGTTTCTGACAGACCGTTAATTTTAAATGCATCGTCTCAACAACGCCTAAAAATTGACGATTATTTACAACGTGAATATGCTGAACAAATGTATGATGATAATTATTACAATCGACAACAATTTATTAATTATACAAAAAATGATCAAAATGAAAATTTATATCGAATTGCTAGTCAAGAAAAATTGAATGAAAATATTTATGAAACAGTTGATAAATTAAAAGATAATAATCAATTACAACAATCACAACGTTTGAAAAGCCAATCAACTGAACAATTACAAATGATCCGTCCAAATGAACAGACAACTGTCATTTATGATACAACCGAAGAGTTTAAACAAGATAAAACAGCTGTTGAAGAAAAATTGAAAAAAGTTTACGATACTTTACCATCGAAAATGAATCTGTTGCGTCCCGAACAAACGGATGTACCACTGATTTATGAATCAGCTGATTTTCATCGAAAAGAACCCGTATATGATATTATAATTAAAAACCGGCAACATCCACCAGTACCACCACTGACTACTGGCATAACACAAGAGTTTTATGAAGAAATAATAGCTGAACAAGCACCAGCAAAAAATATTCGTGAAACATATGAAGCTGAAACACGTTCAGAAGCAGAAATGTACGAACGTCTGACTCATTTTGATCGAGGAGACGGAGAACACGAACAAAAAACATTGCCTAAACAACAAGAGCATATTGAATTGAATCGTGCACAACAAGGTGATCGAAGTTTAATATATAGTCAAGGAAATTTACATCAGTTAGATGTGGATGAATTATCATTAATGTCGGATACTCAGGATGAACGAGAAATAACACAACTTGAACGTGAATTACGTCCAAAATTAGTGCAGTTAGATCAAATTAATCGCGTACAATATTATCATAAACCCATAATTGGTATACAGCCAGATATTCGTACTGATACAACGCGTAATTTAAATGAAGAACAATTAGCAGTTCGAGAAGAGACAGCTCTATTAAATGATCACCATTTAGATACGAGCATTGGTCGACAACGGATAATTCAACAACAACCATCGCAATATGGACATGGTAAACAACAACGAATGATACTGGATGATACAATAAGTTTAAATCAAGATGATTATCAAACGTTGAAACATCATGCATCTGAAGCATTTGTTGAACGAAATGAAATACAATACGGAGACTCATATGGACGAGCATCATTAAACCAAGTTAAATCGTTTAATGCACCTAGTGTGGTAAGTTTAATAGAGACCTCATAACAGAGATGACAACTTAAAAATGGTCATGGTGTTAGATTTGTGTTTCACAAGGATTTAGAGTATCTCTCAGTTTTTTGATATAGTCGTAGTTACTATCAGAATAAAAACCATGTTTTGTAAATGAATTAAGAAGTCAAGGTTTTCTGAGCAGCTCTATTCTGGTGTGTGTTGAAATCCATGTGAAACACAAACAGTATACACATAAAAACTCACGCTGCTTAAAAAAAAA